GTAATCACTTTCTTACTTCTACACGCCATCTGTATGCTTCTTTCTCTGTTACTCTTCCCGATTGAGGACTCTTCTGAGCCTTTTATAGTGTTATCTATTTCAAAGCAGAAGCTGTGGAATTGTATTAAATATTTTTTAAAACTACTTCACCTGTTTAAAAGAAAACATTACATCTCAAAAGGTGAAGATGATTGTTCTTTCTTCCATATCCTCCTCATGGCATGTCCTTGGATAACTTTTCAAAAGGTATCCACGCTTTTGGTTTAGTTTAGTTTTCTTAGAAAGTGGAGAAGTAACAATTTACTAGAATAATGAACTAGGAACTGATTTGCTGTAGGTCCAGCTCTGCTATAAATGCATTGTGTATTCCTAGACAGGCCTTTAACCTCATCAGTGTGTTGTTTTTGTGGAGTGCAAAATAAAGGTAGTGATAGTTTCTGCTGTAGCCCTCATAGGGACATTGGGAAGCAGTATAAGAAAAACTTCAGCAACATCATGATTATTGATGCTAATGGGGAAAATAAATTCATGTAACCCATAGAGAATCCAAGTCAACTGTATTTCCCTCTGGAAAGCAGTTTAACATGTAAGCTTTCAAAGATGTGATTCAGATACAAATACCCAGCTCCATAGTGAAAGACTTTTTTCAGTATGTTACTTCTGGTTTAGCTACTAGCCAGGGAGGTGGTAGCCCAGAGAAGGCAACCCACATACAGATCACAGATCACCTGGAGTTGATTATATGCGTCTACGCTTTTGAGCTCTTTAGGCAACACATTCTCATTCCTGTCATTATCAGTTGAACCTCCATGCCACACATTTCTAAGAATTAAATGCCTAGATGGATTAAATGTAGTATGTGAATGTTCTACGTAAAAGCCAATAGAGTATACAAGTGACTTGAATGATTTTTCCTAACTTGTTTGCAACTGATAGCTCATACTGAATGTTTTTATGTAAACTTTGTATCGTTGGGAAGAATTACCCAATCAGAGATTTATATTTTCATAAATGTTACATTTAGTTAAATTTTGTTACAGAGTTGTTACACTAGAAAATTATTTCAGTCTTCAAACAATATACAGTCTTGTGTATGTATTATTTGTATGAATAAAAGATAAACTACTTAGATTGGCGTGCTGTTTTTCTCCCCCATTTTTGGCAGATGTGATTAGAGACCTCCAGTAATTATAACTGTTCATGCTTACTGAGTGCTTATGTTGCACCAGGCACTGTACTTGGAGCTTTGCATGTACTAAGCCATTTAATCTTCACAACAGCCCTGTGAAGTAGGTACTGTTAGTATTCCAAATTTATAGGTAAGGAAACCTAGAAACAGGGGTCCAGGGAGAATAGCTGAACAAGATTTCAGTGCAGTGTCAGTGTCTTTTTCCTTAACTTTCTCAAGGTACATCAAAATAGAGCATTTAGTATTTAGTAGGCACTTAGAGATCAATAATGACCTACAAGATGTTTTCTAACTTGCAGCTGGGAGACTGGGCTAGCTCTGAAGATCACTGAAGGTTGCTGCAAACTCTCAGGTTTTTCAGGTGTACAGAAATAGTTGATGAATTCATTAATAGAAGGATGGGGAGGAAGGAGAAGAAGGATGATGGCTGAGGAGTCATCTCTCTCATAAATTCCCTTTGGGTGAACAAGCAGGACCAAGGGAAGCCTTCCCACATGCCCTTTCTTCCATCTCTTGCCTCTTGGATCTGAGAATCCATACATGCACCACAAAATATTTTTTACAAACAAACAGAGCAGTATTGGTGAGCTTAAGTGATAATACATAGGAACTATCTGAAATCTTGTATCTAGTTGTCATGAAATAATTGTTCTCAGAGAAACTTTAAGATGTTAAGAAAATAAGAAATTATTCTGGTTTATTGCCTACATCACGTGGCTGAGACTAACGAGTTCAAAATTTACCACCACTGAAAATGATTCCATTACTTACAAAGGGTAATATCCTTTAGGTTGAAAAGGTTAAACCCCTCTCCTTTTAGTTCTCAGAGAAAATGTAGAGAAGTTAATAAATATTTGCAAAAAAGCACCTCAAATAAATAGAGTTTGTTTAAATATCTTCTTTCCCAGGGTCAAGAACACAACAGTCAACAATGTATGCTTGCTCTGCCCGAGGCATTATGCTACATCCTGGAATTATTTGAAAAGTCACGCATGACTCCTGCCATCCAGAACCCTACGGTCTAGAAGAGACACAGCTAAACCAGATGAGACTGATTTCAAAGCTAGTAAGAGTGAGAGCCAGGTGCTGAGGATACACTACAGAGGAGCAATTAACGCTACCTGAGAATCAAAAAGGTTCACCCAGAGGAGATAAGAGCTGAGGCTAGAAGAATAATCAGGACTTACTTGTCAATGTCAGAGAGACATTTCAGGTAAAGGAAGCTGCATGAGCAAAAATGGGAGTTGAAGCATATTTCAGGTGACTTCAAATGCTGTCAGGATTTTAGACTTTATTCAGTAGTCAATAGTGTTACTGAAAGCCAGGGACCCAGCCTAGGTCCAGTTGCTCGCTATACAGAAAGCCAATCACTAAGGCAATGAGTATTATCAGGGAAGAAGGCTTTATTATGGGTGATATTAGCCAGAGAGACAGGAGACAAGACTCAAATCTGAATCTCCCCTGGCTAAAGTTGGGGTTTATATGGGGGGAGAAAACAGGCAGGGTAAGGAAGAGGAGCTGATCAATAGGCAGCAGGTGTCTAGCATCTCACTGTAACCTCCTATAGGAAAATAGGAATTAGGGAGAATTAAGGAAGAGGAATTGGTTAATGGGCAGCAGGTTTAAATGGCTCAAGCTTCAGTGCTATGGGCATTTGGCTTGTTGGAAAATTGTGCTGGTTTCAACAGGGAGCTGGGAAAAAAAGTTGGGGGAGGGGCAGTTACTTTGTCAGATGGCTTTGAGATGGAAGAGACCAGAAGCTGGGAGACCAGTAAAGACCATGGCAATGATCTCAGTTAGAAAGTGTTAGAACCTGATCTTAGAACCTGTTTAGAGTAGGGGCAATTCAAGATTTATTTCAGGGCTTAATGGATAGAGGTGTTTGATGAAGGAGAGGGAAAACTCAAATAATTTCAGTTCCAATTGAAATTGAGTAGATAGAATTACGAATGCAAAGTGCACAGGGGATGAAAGTGGGGGAAAATCATAAAATAAACTTGGACCTAGAGAGTTTAAAAGTAAGACACCATCTAGCCCATTAGAAATATGCTATCTATCCCATGGAGAAATCTCCACTCAGTTCTTTCTTCCTCAGGAGCCCATACTACAATGCCTAATATGGTGTGGGGAGTTTTTTGGGTTATAACATAAACTGACACCATAATTTTTTAATGTTGTTTCTTTTTTAGAACTCTTTCACAAATTTGGAACCATGTTGATAAATCCACTCAAATAAACTAGCTTTCCTATCTTTCATGACTCATTGGCTGGGAACAATTTACATGTCAATGAAAACATGGGCACACCTAAAAAATGAAGTGAATCATGGTGTTTTCACCCTGGTGTGCATTAAGAAACCATAGGTTTTTCTTCCATATATTTTACAAGGGCCCCCTCAGACAATCTGGCATTCCAAGAGATCTGCAAGAAGTACAGATTACACATTGTATGGACACATGGAGGGTTCAGTTTCAGTGTATCAACGTGACAAATTACAGAATACTGGTAATTTAGGAAATACAAATAAAAGCAGCACCTCTAGTTTTATAGAGTGCCAGCCCTTACTGTTTAATAGATGAGGGGAACTACTTGTGCATATTCAGAGCAACAGTTTGCAAACTAGAGTAGGTACCACTTGCTAAAACACAGATTTCTTCACCCTCTGTCCCCAGCTATTTCTGAATCAATACGTCTGGCGTGGGGCCCAGGAATCTGCATTTTTACTACATTCTCTCAGATTATGCTGATGCTATTAGTCTAGGAACCGCACTTTAAAACCCAAGACAGGCTGGGCGCGGTGGCTTAGTTTGCAATCCCAGCACTTTGGGAGGCCGAGGCGGGCGGATTGCTTGAGCTCAGCAGTTCAAGACCAGCCTGGGCAAGTTAAGGAGAGCCCACCCCCACCCTAGTCTCCACACACACAAAAATAATAATAATAATAATTACACAAAAATTAGCCGAGCATGGTAGCATGCGCCTGTAATCCCAGGCACTCCAGAGGCTGAGGTGTGAGGATCCCTTGATCCCTGGAAAAGGAGGTTGCAGTAAGCCGAGATCGCGCCGCACTCCAGCCTGCACAACAGCCAGACCCTGTCTCAAATAATAATAAATAAATAAATAAATAAAATGAAACCCAATACAAACACCAAAGCCTTTTTGGACAGATAATCTACCTGATAAATGTATCAATATCCTGCAGACAATTAAGTGTCGACTATAAGTTGGACGTGAGTGCCGTTCACTGTTATAGAGGATGTAAACCACATATAACTTCCTGCAAAAATCTACCACTTTACAGCGTGCACAATCCCAGCACTGCAAAATTAGAAGGATTCAAAAAATTGAGTCTTCAAATTTTCAAAAGCCTGGCCAACATCATGTGAATGGGGCTGGAATCATTAAAGTAGATACATTGAAACCCCGAGGACACCACGTTCATCCTTAGATAATACTCTGTCCAGATGCCTCTGCAATATCCTGTTCTATTCTCTTGCAGGATGAGTTGAAAAGAAGAGAAAAGAGGGTAAGCTAGGTGGCGCAGTTGCTTAACACATTTTTTTTGGCAAGCCCGGCATTTGCTTTGGGGCACAGGTGAAAAGAATGTCCAGTCCTTAAGCAGAGTCAGTTCTCCACCCACCTTAGGTATACGGATTGTTAACAGCCACGAATGTGGAGCTCAGTGGATTGGATGCAGTGTTGTGGCCAAGGTCATGAGACCTCAGGAAAAGAAAGGGATGGTGGGGGAGTGGGTGAGGAGGGGACGAGGAACCAGGAGTTCATTGAACTCCCACTGTGGCCTTTAGCGTGCAGGCGAGGGTTTTTATCGTGGTGGTGGCGCCCCCGCTGTTTCTAGGTCCATGTAGCTCATATAGGGCTGGCCATGGAGCTCACTAGACCCCTAGACCTCATGGAGCAGGTCTAGGCGGCGAATGCCAGGAATAAGGAGGAAACCGAAAAACGCAAGTTCGCGGGGTTTGGGAGTACACATCTATTTGCCAGGGGGTGCATTTGTTTATCCCAGTACTCCAGTCCCTTGGTCATAGGAAACTCCCTTCTCCAGCGCAACACTGGAGTAGGCATCACGGAGTTTCCAGGGATGGCAGGCCGTTGGCACGGTCGTTTGTGCTCGGAGAACAACAAGCGCGTGGATTTTCTGCTTCAGTGTGCCCGGGACGGCAGCCCCGGCCCCGGGGATGTCGGACGTCGGACTCCAGGGGTTCGAGCCCTAGCCCCGCCGCATCCTTGGGGCGTGCAGGTAAAGGGTTACGCGTGTCGGAGAGGCTCGGGCCACGTGACGCGCGGGCCCAATGACAGCGCCGGGGCGGCCGCTGCGAGCTCGGCGGGCTCCGGGCAGCGCGGAGCCGCTAGCGTTTCCCGGCGCGGCCGCCCGAGGCCGGCGAAGCCATGGGCGCCGCGACCCCGCCGCCGCCGCCGCCGCCACCGCCGTCCGGTCCCAGGTAGGGACAATCCCCCGCCCCGAGCGCGCGAGGAGGGCTTGAGTCCTGCGGAACTTGGCTTTGGGGCGCGCTTTCCCCCACTTCACTCCGAGGCGCCTACTTTTAATTTTAATTTCTTGATTTGCTTTTGCCCTGGAAAAAAAAAAAATTAGAGACGCAATTCGAAGTTTGATGACTTCGGGAAAAGTCACGTAATTCAACAAAGGGGCTCTAAAAGGGGCAAAACTGGGGTGAGGGAAGGCGGACTTTTCCAGATTCCCAAAGCTAAAGACCAAGGTGTTTGTAAAGGTTGGCGACTAATTGGTTGTGTGAAACATTTTTGCTTTTAAATCCCTAATTAATGAACTTTCAATGGTGCATGCGAACTTGAAAACACTGCCAGAGATTTTCCCTTAGATCTGTGCCCTCCTCCCCCATTTTCAGTATGTTTTTTAATAAAAAGGAAATGGAATGTGACCTCTGCTGTTTCTTTGAAATGTCCTTGGGTCCCTGGTATTTGCCCCCCAGGGGTGCTGGCGGCCTGGACGGTGGGCAGGGGTCGGGGAAGAGGTCATGGTGCCAGGAGGCCTCACGTAGTGAAAAGAGGGTGCCAGGTACAAACAGTTAAATAGTCACAAACTGTTTGCTAAATATTTAATAATTAGGCAAGCATCTCCCAGGTTGGTTGCTTAGGTTGCATTGACCTTGGCAGCCCTGATGAGGCGAGATTTTCACAAAGTACTGGCCAAGAATTTTTCCAGTGATAAAAGGCAAGAAAGAATCAATGCTTTTTACCCCAGCATGGCAATTGCCCTTAAAAACAAAATTAAAACTCCCTCTGATGACTTAGTACATTTTAAGTTACTTTCCATGGCGGCATAGATACCTGCCCCGTGATAGATATTTGCTCTGTGAATTTAGAGGAAATCTGTGCTCCAAATATGGTACAAATCATTGAAGAATAGGGCGTTTATTTTCTTCCTGCCACTATTTATGGGAAAGAATTACTGAGGGTCCTTCTTGCCCTGGTTTGTGGATGTCCTTGGTGGTTGCAATCAAGCAAGCTCTTATGAGGAATAATATCTGGAGAAAAGACGAGAAGCATTTGAGAGTTGAATGAGAAAGAAATGGAAAGGGTTACTGCTTTTAAACATAATAGAGTCTGTATTTGCTGCCTACCCCTCCCCCTTCCCCATTTAATCCTTCAGTTAATACTATTTTAGAAAGGATAAGACAGATGTTAAGGATCATACCACCTTACTGGTCCCAGCTGTGAAACACTGTCAGGAGGCAGATAATTGAAACAAGGTACATAATTGAAACAGTTTGAAGCTCAAAGGTAAAGTTAAGTTCTGGAATTATTTGTATTTCCCTAAAGTGTGACGAGTCAGCAAACAGCAAGCTGCCTGGGTCACTGAGCAGAAATGGAACAGATGCTGAGACAGGAAGGGAAGGTGTGGCTGACTTCTCTTCTTGGCCCACTCTGTGTCTATCTGATCCTGCTCCGTGCATTTATTCAGCACCTATGATCCTGGTCCTGAATGGCTCCAGAGATTTAGATATCTAATGATACCTAAAAAGAAATAGGGCCAATCTTTGCTGTGTTTCAAAGAGCTTTTTGGATATCTGGGATTGAAGACAAAAACTTGCATACCAACTCAACATGTTCCATTATCCTAAACATGGAATGATTCCCTTGACTTCCCACCCAGACCCTCTCTGAGCCTGGAAATACAACCTGGCTAAGCTCCGGCCAGAATCCAGTTGCAGCCCAAGGACAGAGCCCAGATAGGGCCGGCCCCTTTCCTCCTAGAACAGCCCGCTCTTGGTGCCCAGAAGCCCATTCACTGTGCTTCTTGGAATGGACGCCAGTTTCCAAATAATTGAATACCAGCCTCCCAGTAGCTGGGTTTCCTCTCCCTGGACTGTGTTTCACATTCCCCTAGTTACACAATTTTTCTGATAACCCTGAATCTTGGGATCTTTTAGAGTCTTGGTTAAATAGTAACTAGTACCTATGTCCTGCTTTTCTTTCTTGGTCATTAGACAGATTTTCTTTCTGGTTGGTCTTTTTCGTCATTAGATTACATGCTTACAGAGAGACTTTGTAGGTGTGTAGAAAAGAGTTGGGAAAAGTTAAAGGGGTCATCCTAGGGGAAGCAGACTTGGAGTCTTCACCTATGTGCAGGTCAGATGAGTCACTCATTTGTAGCCTTTCTCGAGTGCCTGCTCTTAACCACTGAGCCATCCTGTGTCTCTAGTTGTAGTCTTTGTTACTCTGACTGCTATTTAAGAGAATAAACTGAGAATGAAATCATTCATCTACTTGTACCCTTTTCACCCGAGAATGTCATAGTCCCACAGAGGTTAGTTAAAATCTTCAGGACTGTAGATTATCAAGTAATCCTTTCCTAAAACGTATGTAAAACACCAAGCCAATGAATATGTGTCCTGAAGCAGAAAATTAAAACTCTGACTCGGTGTTGTCAGGCATTGTAGAAAAGATGTTCCTGAGCTGCAGTGAATATTAACAAATGACAAAAGGAATATTGTATCTCAAACTTTATCACAAGTGGTGAATTCTGTTCTGTTCAGTGTACAAGTGGTTCTCCAAACTTTAATGAAACCCTGACCTGGCCTTGGAGACATCATGTGTGTAGACCCAGAGACACCAGATAGTCGATGAGTTTTGGGGACACAGTCCTTGTCTTCAGAGATCCTAATATCTTGGGAGAAACCATTGAAGGATCTTAAGCAGAGCATATCTTTATTTTAAAGAGTTCATGCAGGCTGCAATGAGAATGAAACAGTAAAGATAACAAACAAGACCAAAGGCAGCTGCAGCAAAAATTTACATTAGAGGAGAGAGAGAAGTGAATTGGTTCAAAAGATAGTTAAAGAAGCACTGGTATTTACAGTTTTAACTGTAAGAACCCGTTAGGTAACTTGAATCTCTGACGTCAATTTACATGTCATTTCAAAATACATTTTCTCCAGGTAGGTAAATGTAAGCCACGTTTCATTGCAATGTTCTTCATGTGGATTCTAGTTCCTCTAGAGCTCCTCGTGGTTTTTAATCACAGAAAAATAGTTTCTGATAAATAGCCAATTATATTTCACATTTTCAACAACCTAGTGTTTCTTTCTCCAGACTTAAATATCTACATCTGAAGGCAAAGCTAAAGTAAACTGTTGCCCTCATATTATATACACATTCTCTGATTTAGCTTCACTCCTTCTGGGAGTAAAAACACCCTGACATTTGATTGTTTAACTTTAGTGGAAATGGACAGTAGAACAGCCTTTCTTTTTTTATTGTTTTCAGTTGACCACAACATGGCCTGCTATATGTCACAGCGAGGACTGTATTATATTTGTAAGAGTATTAGTAACATGTGAGAGGCCTCTAAGTGAACAAAAGTCACCTTGGTTATTGACTCAGTGCCACGTGCATAGCTTGTTAATACAACGTGTATTTGGATATATTTTAAATTTATTAATTCACTTGATCACTAGTTGTAGAGTAGATGTCTACACTCAGGAGTTTTGAAATTTGATTTTGGTGTTAATTCTTTTCCCTCATTTGATAACTGAGTATCATATATATCTTGGTTCCTAACATGTAACAAATACAAAGATTTGATTCTGTATAGCTATAAAATAGTATCGCTTTTATTTGGTCTGATTGTCAACAACCTTAGTCCTCCAGAATATGTATTGTAATCTAGAAATGCATAAAAGAAGTCCCGCGCACCTTCAAATTCTTATTAAGAGCCATGTACTTAAGATTCCCACTAGAACTTATTTGGCATTATTTCGTTTCTGATTCCTAATGAGCTTGGCTACCTGGGTTCGTGGTCCACAGCAAGGAGATCTACTTTGTGGTTTCAATGTACAGCTCTTATGATAAGTATGAAATGTGGTTACAGCCAAATGCTAGGCAGCAAAGACAATACAGTGAAGGTGGTCTGTGATTAAACCCTAAGTCTACAAGAAAAACGTTCAATCGTGTTCAAAACTGTTAGAAAGGAATAAGTACTGCATTTTGGTAAAAGGGACCCTTGATCCTTTTTAGAGCTGGAAAATAACCTTAAAAGTTACTTGGTCTAACCACCTTAATTTACAGATGAGGAAACTGAGTCTCAAAGAGGTTAAATGATTTGTCCAAAGTCATACAGCTCCCCACTGGAAAAGCTGCTGGGACCACAATCTCAGAGTCCCAATTCCTAGTTTAGTCATCTTCCTACTTCTGACTAACAAGCACAAATGTTGGTACTATAAAAACTCATTCTATATTAAGTATGATATTGTCCAAAACATAGCCACTGTTTATTGAGAAATTACTTATATATTCAGTATCAGTTATCTATTGGTGTGTAACAAATCACCCCAAACATAATGGCTTAAAATAACCACCGTTTATTGAGCTTGTGCTTCTGTAGATAAACAGTTTGGGTGGGCTTGGGTGAGCAAATTACTGTCTTTTCCAGGTTCCTTCATGCGTCTGTGGTCACCAAGGCAGCTCTGCCTCTGAGTATTGGCAGACCATCAGCCATGTCACATGGGGAGCAGCTGAGCCTCACATCTTTCATGATTTAGCAGGCTAGCCTGGGTTCATCACGTATTGGCTCAACTTGGTTGCAAGAGAGAATGGAAACAAGGCTCCTTGAGGCCTAGGTTCAAGCTGACACAGCTCACTTCTACTCCAGTCTATTTCAAAAGCGACTCAAGAAGCCAGTTCAGATTCAAGGGGTGGAAAAAGACCCCACTTTTTAATGGGAGAAACTGCAGAGTTCCATTAGAAAATGGGATGGATTCA